AATGGCCTTGGGCCACGGGTGCAGTGAGGACTTGCAGTCAAATTGGGGCTCCTTGTCCAGCCCAGTTGAAACATGGCTTTTTCCACCAAAATAAAGGGAAACCACCATTTACAAGGCAACGATCAGGTGTATAATGTAAGGATCCCTGCTGTCTAAGGGTGCCGCCACAGCTCGGAGTCCACGGCATTGCTCCAAAACCAAAAATCAGATTGAGGTGGCGTTGGATTACTGCCTGGTAAGCAGTTCACAGCCCTTGATAAGTCTCCGCCAGGAGTTTGACAACTACTTGCTGCTCAGTAGGGAAATCCCCACCCCTTTAAGCATGGAATTGGGGGGACAGGGGTGACCTCAGGTTGTTGGCAACCCATTTTTTCCCTTCATGGGGAAGACTACAGAAATGGAATTGGGGACCGGGTCCCCCCCCTCCGCATGGTAGGGGGGATGTAGGGACTGACCCACTCGCCCGAAGCCCAGGCCCAGGCAGGCGAAGGATGTGGTTTTTGTTTTGCTCGAGGGTTGCTTTACTCACTTCCTGAGTTCATGAACTTTAAACTTTTTGGGAAGACCGTTTTAGTGGTAGATACAAAGTTTGGACTTTTTTTGGGCCATCTACTCAGCCAGTGAGTTTAAAGGAACTCAATTTTGGGGTCCCCCTATCTCGACACAACCTCAATATGCAGATTGCACCTGGGATGGAGCCCAGCCAATCGGTTCAACTCCTCTGTTGGCAGGCGCGCAGCCCATGCACCTGCGGATGTTTGATGGCTGGATGCAGCAGTTCGACCAGATGAAGGACGAACCCTGCCACACGAAATTTGCTCCCCCGCCTTGGAGCGAGGTCTCCCGTGCCCTTGTTGGAACATCGATGTGGCTGGATGGCGTCAAAAACAGGCAAGCCCGCACGGATTGCGCAGATATATACCATATTAAAGATGCAAAGCTCAAGCAAAGTTGAACTATTTCCACCTGTAAATCCAGTCCACATAGAATGATTTCAGCTCGAGTTGCTTTCTCGAGCTGAGATTTTGTGATCGGTTTTCGGCCATGCGGTTTTTCGGTGATGTCTTCAAGCCCATGGAGCCCAACGAGCCCTCGGAGCTTGAGGGGTTGGAGGCCCTGGAGCTGTCTCTTGGTGGTTCGCCCACTGGAAAAAATCCAGTTGCGAGATTTTTCGCCCCTGGAAGACCTAAAAGTATTTCCAGGGATCGATTCCTTTTGAAACCAACAGGGGAAAATGAAGATATTCTTAAAAAAACAAATGGAAGGAGTACTCTGACCCCCTTTTGGGGGGTTCACGAGAGAAAATGGCAGGCAGGGGGCCGGGGCACATTCCATACGTCTAATCAACATGGCGTTTTCCCGCAACGCTCACGGCACACCTAGATGGGAACACTCGGCTCCCTCGATTTCCCGTTGGACATCAGCAAAGGAAACCACTGCTTTCCAGGGGCTCAAAGGTTGACCTTGTGATTGCAGTGCCCATATACCCTCTGAGTATGGGCCAGTCAAGAGGCCCCGCAAGAAAACCATCGGGCCCTGTTCCCATGTCAATCTTGAAGGACCGATGCCGCGCAACCAGCGGGGAAAAATCTTCCCCAAGAGAGGGCTGCCGGCTCCCTTGGTCGACCACAAAAGGGTCGCTGGTGGCAACTGGGTTGTTTTGTTTTTTTTTTCCCCGGTTTGCCCCCCCCCCCCCCCCAGTTAAGACCACCCTCCACTCATGTCATTCGGACGGGTTCCTTTCAATGATTCAAGCTGCCAGGAGCAGAAGAAGTTTGTGGAGGCGTTCTGCGCAGCTTTCGCGCTGCGGGAGGTTGAGGTTTGCCATTGTCTTTCACTCAGTCAGGATTACTTCGAGAAATGGAGGGATAGTTGGTCTTTCAATGTGGGGATTGTAAATATATTTTGTTTGTTATGAGTCAGTTACTCAGAGTTACCCTCCCAAAAGCAAACGTGGAACCAAGGGACCCCCTTTGGACAATTTTCATTTAGGCACCCCTTTTCAGGTTCCTTCCGTTCGTTGAAGGGTAGCTACGGAAGTACAACGCGAGCACTTCGGGGCGATTCAGACACTGCCCCGACCTCCCAATTGGTGAGGCAATCCATTTGCCAAATGTCCTAGCTGAATGTTTTGAGGGCTCTTCAAATTGCTGCTTTTTTGTTGCCTGTAAATCATTTTAAAGGGCTTTGAGGATGCCATTATGCAAATTGGGTTGTTCTATTCTGCGCATCGGGGGCTCAAGTTGGAGTGGGTTTGATCTTGGGATCTTGAGCCTTGGGCTGCTTTGCAAGCCTGTTGAAGGTAATGGGAACCTCTCTGGTTGATTGATAGGGGGGTGCCCCCTTTTTTGTTTGGGGGGTCATCACTTTTGGGCGGAACACCACTAATAGGACGGGCCTTTGCAGGAGCCCGGCCCTCACCCAGCTGTTGCGAATTCCGCATGCGTGCACCTTCTCTTTGTTTGGTGGGTTCGGGCTTACCAAAAATGGATTCAACCCCCAAATGAAGGTTCCCTTCTAAAGGGCTAAGTCGAACTGCACCTCCATTGGGCCAGGCCTGCGAACAGTCGGTGCAGTCCTTGCACCACACCAGCACTTTGCCGGTGATTCCCGACCTCGAGCTGGCGGAGCTCGCGCCTTGAACCTGACATGCCCTTCCGCCGGAGAAAACGACCTTGGGACACCATGGGATTTTTTGGCCTCCAGTGGATTCGGTGGGGTTATCGACCCCAGCTGGAAGCTATGGGGTCGATAGGCCCAAATGGGGTCCTTGGGCTGCTCTGGGGAAGGCAGCTTCTCTTGGGTTTCGGAGGGGTGTGGGGCCGCTGGGGAAATCAGCGTGGCTGAGTTCTGAAAGAGGGGGAGGTTGTAACCAAGCAGCCCCTCTTCGTGTATTGCAAAGTGCCCTTTTGGGATCTTTTGGGTCTTTGTGGTACAAGCCCCAACCCGGCAGGGGAAAATGAACGGAAAATGCTGTGCAGCGCTGGTCAGCGGGATTCTTCTGGGGTGGCAAACCAAATCACCTGGATAAGCATGACTAAGTCCTCCGATGGTTCATGCTCATCCTGTCCTGCCCTGCCACCCATCAACACCAAGTGAGCCTTCTGCCTCTGTGCGGCGTGCTGCGTTGGAAGCGTATCGCTCCCAAGAGGCACAGCTGAGGAGAGGCAGTTCAAGAGCATCGACCTCGAAAACTCTGGGCTCATCACCCTGCAGCAGATCGAGCGGGTGGGGGCCTCAGGTGGGGTTTCCGAGCCACTTCCCTTGCAAAACCTCCAAAACTGGCGATCGCTTCAAGCTAGGTCCCCCAGCTAGGTGCCCTTTTACATTTTTTTTGGGGAGGGTTCCCCTACTAAAATAGACTCCAGAAAAATGAAAAACGTTGGTGCCCTTATCCTAACCTCTCTACTGGACAAGGGAAACCGCCTGCGTCAATTGATGCCTTTGCCCGCCTGGCACTTTTTGAGCCTCGCTCATGGCCGGCGCAAGCCGGCCATGAGGCGCCGGGGAGCTCCGGACAATGACCTGCGGATGGACCAAAACCTGAGTGGGTAGGTGGTTCACTGCTGACAGGGGTTCATCCATCCCAGCTGCTGCGAAATGGATTTCGTCCACAGTATGGAAGTTGATAGTTTGGATAAATCACTTCCATTTGGCTAAGAATATTTTTCCCCTGTTGGTTTTGAAGAGAATCTATCACTACTGTTTCTTTTTCCAGGGCTTAAGCAAATGGATCAATCATGGAGCCCGGCCCTACTGAAGCGTTGCGACCTTACCCAGGAAGGTTCGTTCCGACAGGATCCTCGCCTCGGGTGGGTTGTCCAGGTTGAAACAACAGTGGCTTAAGCCAGCTTGAACGGAATGTTGACCAAACCCTTAGGGTTTAGGCAAAGAGGGCCCACAAACACACAAACACACAAACACACAAGCACAAGCACAAACACCAACACACGCACAAACACAAACACGAACATAACCACGAACACGGACACAAACACAAACACAAACACAAACACACACACACACACATCCACACACCTGCACCCACACCACACACACACACACCTACACACACACAGACACACACACACACAGACCCACACACACACACACACGAACACACAAACACACAAACACACAAACACACAAACACAAACACAAACACAAACACAAACACACACACACACACACACACACACACACACACACACACACACACACACACACACACACACACACACACACACACACACACACACACACACACACACACACACACACACACACACACACACACACACACACACACACACACACACACACACACACACACACACACACACACACACACACACACACACACACACACACACACACACACACACACACACACACACACACACACACACACACACACACACACACACACACACACACACACAGACACACACACACACACACGAACACACAAACACACACACACACACACAAACACACACACACACACACACACACACACACACACACACACACACACACACACACACACACACACACACACACACACACACACACACACACACACACACAGACGCGCAGCACAGACGCACACAGACGCACAGCACAGACACAGACACACAGACACACAGACACACAGAGACACAGAGACACAGAGACACAGAGACACAGAGACACAGAGACACAGAGACACAGAGACACAGAGACACAGAGACACAGAGACACAGAGACACACAGACACACAGACACACAGACACACGCAGACACACAGACACGCAGACACAGACACACAGACACAGCAGACACGCAGACACGCAGACACGCAGACACGCAGACACGCAGACACGCAGACACAGACACAGACACAGACACAGACACACAGACACACAGACACACAGACACACAGACACACAGACACACAGACACACAGACACACAGACACACAGACACACAGACACACAGACACACAGACACACAGACACACAGACACACAGACACACAGACACACAGACACACAGACACACAGACACACAGACACACAGACACACAGACACACAGACACACAGACACACAGACACACAGACACACAGACACACAGACACACAGACACACAGACACACACACACACACACACACACACACACACACACACACACACACACACACACACACACACACACACACACACACACACACACACACACACACACACACACAACACACACACACACACACACACACACACACACACACACACACACACACACACACACACACAGACAGACAGACAGACAGACAGACAGACAGACAGACAGACAGACAGACAGACACACACACAGACACGAGCACAAGCACAAGCACAAGCATAAGCACAAACACACACACACACACACACAAACACAAACACAAACACAAACACAAACACAAACACAAACACAAACACAAACACAAACACAAACACAAACACAAACACAAACACAAGAGCACAGCCACAAACAAAGACGCAAACACTCAATCATAAACAAACACAAAAACATAGATTCAAAACAGGCACACACACACGCCCAGCTGTTGTTTCTTCTTTTGTTGAGGGGGGTGGTGCAGTGGTCCAACACAGACCAGGTCTTTGTCTTTTATTTCTGGGTGGAGGGAGAGGTTTGAGCCCTTCCTCGGCCCGAGGCCATGAGCTTGGACTGCGAGGTGCTGCGGAAGTACGACGTGTCCAACGACGGCTTCATCGACTTCCACGAGTTCGTGGCGCGCTGGGGGCGTCGGAGGGGCTGGAAAAACCGGTGCTCGAAACGGGGGTTCTTGGAGTCGTCGAAATTTGGGACCCATAGCGGGGTGGTTCTAGGGAACGGTTTTTTTTTTGGAAGCCCAACGTGGGTTTGGCTTTTTGGCCCCCCTTTGTGTGAAGTCGCCAAAAGATCCATGCTGGGGATGAGACGGATCCTGAGAAGTTGCGGAAACGAACCCTTCATGAATAGAAACTGCCCACAAGAAAGGGCTTTAGTCATGGGTACATGTCTCCCTGCACTTGCCTGGGGCTGCGAGCTGCGGCCTTGAGGGAATGGAGCCCGCAGATGGGATCACAGTCAAGAGCCATCTCCGTCCAGTCACTGTCACTGAAGTCTGTGGTTTACATAGTCGGACAATCCGTCTTCAATGAAGATTTCGTAGTCCTGGGAGCATTGTCTCGAAAGGCTTTGAGAGGCCGCCTCTTGATCATCAAGTACACCGCCAAAAGTCGATACGATTTCCTCGGTTTTGAGGGGAACATCCCAAGATTTCAGCATTGCGAGTGTTCCCCCTTTGGACCAGCCTGAAAATTTACAGGGCCGTCCGTCCATCCTCTTATTTGCTTGTTCAAAATGGGGGCGCGGGGTCCCTAGTCCTAATCCCTATACCCCAGAATGGGACACACACACACACAAACACACCCACTGCAACCAAGGGAAACCACGAATTACCATTTAGCATGAGTATTGTGCGGATTGTTCTTGGGCATTCCAGATGCTGGGGACCTGCGAGGCCATGATGTGTCCCACCGAGTACCGCCCACCCGAGATGTGCGGCTTTGACCAGGAGGCTCGGCATGTGTGGCAACCGCCCTTTTCTGGGCACCTTCTCGACAAACAGCAACAAATGCAGCACGTTTTTCTTCAGCAAAGGTGGGACTCTGTCAAAAAAATCACTTCGAGCGTGTCGAAGGAACTCAGCAAATGCATGGGCGCCGGCGCTGAGTATGATGCTCTTTTTCACATCATTGCACATGGGAGAGCCCGGGACGAGATCTCGGCGCGCCGACTGATGACAGCCGTGTCAAGGTCAGAGCGGGCTCCAGCGATATTGAACTTCAGTGTTTGGGCTTTCTATCAGTGCTCCCACAAAAAGGTGCGGTTTCCTTTTGGCGTTCCCTAATTCTAGAGCACCCCCCCCCCCAAATGGAGGAAAACACACCTAAAATGGTTGCCTGAGGAAACCGCCGGTTTTCACCTTACCTTCCGGCTTCCATATACCAAGATGCCATATTCTTGAGCCATAGCCATTTGAGAATCGATCTCCTGCAAATGCTTTGGAACCTGGAGATCCTTGACAATTCTTGTCGTTTTTGTTTTCCTATGGCTCGGTTTACTTGACTGCTATTGGGTTGGATCTTCAGAGTTTAACTTGTTGGGAAGGAAAGGTGTTTTCCACTCCCCCAAAAAGTGAAATTCACTTTTTGCAGGGGGGGTCAACAGCAGCCAAGTTTACTTGCAACATTGGCGGCAGGTGCTGGGCAGCCTGGTGAAGATGCGTGCGGCGCGGATGCGCTCGGGGCTGGACCAGCAGGTGGCGCTCTATGAGAGCCCGGCCGATGCCAAGGTCCAAGGGCTTGGGGGTGGAGGAGTTTGGAGGTAGGCCAACTGAGCCTGAATCAGGCCAAATCTTCGGATTTGTTTTTGTGTTCATCATTTGTTTGACCCGTAATTTAGCTTTTCGGGCCGGCATTTGGCGTTATTTTTCTGCTTTTTCTGTCCACAGCCTAATGTTTGTATCCAACAAGCACGCTCCGTCTTTTGCTCTTTCTGCCAAAGTTTTGGTTTTTGACATCCTACCCCAAATCCGCACCCTGAAGCTCAACCTAGCGTGTATGGTTGCGAAATCCCTTCGACCGCACCACGAAATGAAGCCATGGGAATGCAATCAGAACGGCAATTACGTTGGGGAACCGAGTCAGAAACCCGTGGATCAGGGTTTAGGCGATGCGTGCAATGGATTTCGCCCATCCACAGGTTGAGCTGAGCTTCAGGATGCAGATTTGAACATTTGGGGTGTAGGGTAGATGAAGGGGCGGGGCATATGAAAACTACATTACGATCATTTCTGGGGTAGACTTAGGATACATTTTACTTTTTACCAGTGAGTCAAAGGGAAGCAAACAATAGAATATACATTCTAGAACTGGGCCTAAATCTAATGATTTGGCCTGATTCTCCTCTCATAAGACTTAGTTGGTCTCGAGTTGCCGCTGCGGCATTCTAATTGTTCGGGTCCGTGCGACAAATATGGAAGCCCAGGAATAATGAATTCCTGGTTGTTTCATTGGGGGGCATCCCAGTTTAGAGTCATGGGGGGGGGGGAGGGAGCCCAAATAAGCCCTTATTAAGCCTTATTGAGGGCTTATTTGGGCTCCCTCCAGCCCCCATGATAGAGGGATCCTGTAAGCGCAAGCCCCGCAAGGCGTTCCCTGAACAGCTTTACTTCATTCGAAGCTGTTGGATGGACACGGTAGAACAGGTAAGGAATTGATTCGGGTTTTCCCTTTGGTTTTCCTTTAAAAAGCCAACCGCAACAGGGTACCAACCCAAGTGGACTAATCTTTGTTCCTTGGGTCGCTTGACTGATCCCCGTTGAGAAATGATTTCAATGTAAGCGCTGAAGCTTTTTGCTTGCATCTGAACACGGCAAATCACAGGGATGTCCCTGCCGACTTCGTTGGAATTCTGGGGGGGGGTAGGGGACTGGGCAGTGGCGTAAACAAGTAGCGTGCCAGGAGGACAACTGGAGGTCCTCCATTCTTTGGCTCGTCATTTCATGAGCACTGCACCCCCCCTACTCCACATACCAATTGTTCGTGTATTTTTGGAAAAAGCTGGGTTTTCAGGGTAAATACCTCCTTTTGAAATAAGGTTTTGGGGCAAGGTCGCAGACGGTCAGGGGCGACGTGTGACGGTGCGGCCCTACTTACCCTACTTTCAAAGCTGGCAGCCCCCCGACATGCCCATCTAAACCGATCGGCCCACGTTTCTTTTGCTCCAGGGGCCCTCAAAGCAGCACCAGCTGGCCCATTTCAGACCGCAAAACATTCTCGCTTGTTCGCAGGTGCGTTTCCTCTCAGTCGGAAAGTGGTCCGACCTCCGCATGTCGTCCCATTTTGCTTGGCTGCTATTGGGTTGCATCTTTAGACTTTAACTTTTCGGTTGAACACATTTGCCTTTTTTTGCTAAACCCCCAAAAAGTGAAATTCACTTGTTGCAGGGGGGTCAAACCAATGGTACCATTTTGGGGTAGGTGCACCACCTATTTTAGTCTATTTTAGTGGGGATTGGGATGTTCACTCCGCTGTTTTTCGCAGGCTGAGGGGGTGCGCAAGAGCGAGATGCCCGCCTCCATGCGGCCGGAGCGAGCGGTTCCGGCTTTGGGCATGCTGTGAGCGAGTGGGGGGTCAAAGCACACCCATCTTAAAAATGGAATTGGGGAGGGAATTCCATTTGTTGTTCCATGTTCCATTTTATGGGGGAGACGAGATACATGGAATTGGGGACCCCTCCACCCCCTCTTGAAGGTAGGAAGGATGACACGAGGTCATGCATGCCCTTGTTTTGAATGCAGGTTGAACGCGAGGCGTTCGGGTTTGTGGCAGTGGTTCCAACGTGGCTTGCACCTCAGCATGGTATTGTTCAGAGTTCGAAAAGTCGTCGCAAAGGTCCCACAGCCGGAAGCCAGCCCAGGACGACTTGTGAAAACCACCTGGGTGCATGGTTCACGGTCGCAGACAAGGGGTCGTATCAGCCCTCACTTCCTGAGTGCCTGGACTTGTTTTTTTCTTGAAAGACCATTTTAGTGGCAAATAACAAGTTTGGACCTTGTTTGTCCAGGAAGTAAGCAGCTTTGCATTTTGTATGGGTTTCCTTGAAGCGTTTGCGCCATTCAGACAGGCGGAGCTGACCGCCTGATACCGTCTGGGCTTCAGGCCTTCTACTGGAAATTATCGTGGTTTGAGTGCCTCGATTTCTCATCACATGCCTCATGTTTTTGTGGACGCTCCACTTTTGTGAAATCAACTGCAGGATCCAAGCCATCGCGAAGGGTTCGTGCGGAGCAGCTCAGAAGACTTGCTCAGAAAACTTGCTCTCAGAGAACTTAGCCAGAGAAACTTTCGCGGACTCTTGCTCAAAGAAACTTGCCCAGAGAGCTTGCCGAGAGAAACTGGCTCAGAGAACCTGCTCAGAGGGAAAATTATTAGAGAAACTTGCTCGAAAAACTTGCTTAGAGAAACTTGCTCAGAGAACTTGCTCACAGTCCTTGCTCAGCTGACTTGCTTCAGGCACTTTCTCAAAGAACTTGCTCAGAGAAGCTGAAAGCAAACCTTAGCTTTGCAAGCGGCGTGGTCGGGGCTCAAACCTTGGTGTTTCCTAGAAGGTTTTGCGTGGATCGGCTTGGCCGAGGTTTAACAAACCCACGGTTGCTACTTTTTCCTGTCAGACACACTTGCTCAAAGAAACTTTCGCAGAGAAACTCGCACGGAAACACCGAGCAACTTGCGCAGAGAACTTTCGCAGACAAACTTGCTCACAGAACTTGCCAGACAAACTTGAAGCATGTCCTCACAGCGCAACACGAGCGATCTGATTCTGCTCTCTGAGCAGGTTCTGTAAACGAGGTCCTCTGAGCAAGTTCTCTGCGCAAGCGGCTCTGCGCAACCTTGTCCGATGAAGGCATATAACTCGGTCAACTATGCTTTCGGGCCACCCGTCTTCTAGCTTTGTTTCGTTTTTGTGAGGGAAACCAAAAACTCTTTTTTACCGGACTGACTCATGTGTGTGTGTAGTTGTGCGTTTGTGTGTGTTTGGCACCCTAGTAGTGCGGGGTCGGCCTCTTTTAGCATGGCCATGAATTAGTATAAGGAACCCCCTGGAAAGTGGTTGGTGGAAATAAAGCCCCGCCTAAATCAATTAAAAATCATGCCCAAATAGCGCCGCAAAACACTTCTTACCTCTTCTTTGGTGCATTTTGCTTGGCTGTTAGGACTTGGACTTTTTGCCAACTAATGGGTTTTCCACTAAACCACTAAAAGTTAGTCACTTCTAGCAGAGCAGATTTCGCCACCGAGTTCTTTTTGGGGCGCCGCAGGAAGTGCCAGAAGAGACCTGGGCGGCCTGGAACTCGGTCTTCGACCGCGTGGACAACGACGGGGATAATACCATATCCGATGCGGAGCTGAGGCGGCTTGCTTTTGGTTTCGCCCCAAAACCACCCAAGTAAGCAGCTCCACCATAAAAGACGGACCCGTATGTGTTGTTTCCCCTTACCGGTTGGGTTTTATTGTCACTACTTACTACTGGAAATAGTTCTTCTTTCCAGGCAGTTTAGCCAAGACCTCCAAAAACCCAGCGCCACGCTCTTGGGTTGCCTTTAAAATCAATTAAGAAAGAGTGCTAGGTTCTTTTTCCACATGATTGGTGGCTTGGGGATTTGAACTCCTGGTTACTGCTGTGAACCCGCCAAACGACCAAGCAGGGGCAAGGCAAGGTTTTCAGTTTATGAGCAGCCAAAAGCCAGGTCGTGGTCGGGAGATAAGGGGCCCCTGAGCTTTCCCTGAAAGCATTCCTGCAAACACCACAAACACGTAAACAAGAAGTTTGGTTACTTTTTCTTGCGAGCGGAAGCGAGTGCATCGTAGGGTTCCCCAAAAAAACAAGAACTGGATGCTACTGGATGCCTGCCCGGTTTGCCAGTCCTTCGCTTAGAGGGGTATGAGCAAGAGTTGCAGGCTGGTGTCACTTGGGGGTTTTGGAATTCCTTTGGGTAGGGTTCCCAAACATTGTTTAGGGTTCCCCCCCTTGCTAGGGATTTCCTTTAGGTAAGTGAACAATTGGCGGAGTTCCTTTGAGGAAAAAAGTAAGCAGCAACTGCCAATGTTTCACTTACCTATAGGAAATCCTTGTTCCTTTGAGATATCGCCACGCTTCAGTAGCAAGCGGATCTTAGGCAGCTGGGCAACAAAAACAGGTTTGGGCTTCAGCCTGAAAGCCTCGCCAGTAGGTTCGGCCAAATTGGTTTCTCTGGGCCCCCATAGGAAGCCAAAAGGATGCTACTCAAGCAAGGCAGGTTTAAACATGTATGTGTCAAAATAGGGAACCCGAAAAAAGTGTCATGCTTTGAATTTTCCTGTTGGCTTTCCTTTATACAAGCCAAGGCAGCTAAGCTGCTTTGTTTCAAGGGTGTTCTTCTTGGTTTCCTTATCCAGGACGAGTTTTTTTCAACCACTAGCCACTATACCAAGAGTATATATACCCCATTGTCACTGGGTGCTTTGAACCCTGGCTTTTGTAGAACCCACCCCCTAACCACCAAACTACAAATCCAAACCAATCAGATTGCAGCTGAACAGCTTCTGTTTGAACTAAACCTGCAGGAAACTCGAGGACGCCCGCAGGAAACCCGCAGGAAACCCATGGGAAACTTGGAAGCCCGGAACAGCCGCGAAAAACTTTTGGAACCTTGCGGTTTGGAGACTTGCGTGGAAACCCCAGCAAACCCGTGGTTTGATACCAGTTTTCTTTCCGGTGGCATGGTCCTCGGATATTTCACTGCCAGGTCCTCGATGCTCCTGTCGCAGGATGTCTGCGAGCAGCTCATCGCTTCCACGCGGGCCGAGGGCAAGCTGGGCATTCCCCGGCGCACGGGACCCAGAGGGCAAGCCAGATCTGGAGCCCCGAGAGCCCCGAGCTCGTGGAGTTGTCAACTTTTTGGACAAACAAGCAAACAAACAAAAAGAAGCACGCCAACCAACTGAACAAACAAACAAACAAGTGAAATGGACGCGTGTTGTGGGTTCATGTGGGTTCTTCGATGGATTGTCAAAAACGAGACTCTTTGTGGCGGCGCCGTTGAGGCTTAAAATTGCTACGGCCCACAGAGCTCATTTTGGCCCGATTCACACAGCTTGACTTGAACAAACATGACACCAATGGATGCCAGGTTTTGACACCTGTTGGTTTCTTTGACTTGGTCCCCTAACCTTTTGGTTTCCCTGATTTGCTTTTCTGGGTTTCTCAAGGTTCCAGCAAAGATTGACCTTTCTTTCCCAGGTTTTCCTTGGGCAAGTGACTGGCCGAGGAGACTTTCTGCTGTCTTTGCTGGACTTCTACGTGGCTCGCATCAAATCTTCCATTTGGTTCTGAGCTCCAAAAAACGACATGTCAAAAGAAATTCGGGATCACCCCCCCTCCCCCCCCTCCCCCAATTGCATTTTTAAGTGGGTGGCGATATTTGGGGATTGATAATAAGAACCCCACCAATTTAAGGACTTGTGGGCGGCCGGGTAAACGTCCCGCCAATGGAACTTGACAGGGGGATGACCGTGTGACCTCAAAAGTGGCATGTTCAATGGACCCCCACAGAACCTTCCATTTGCTGAAATGAAGATAGTGTGTGTTACTTTCCCCGGTTGGCCTTAAAGGGAACCTATCACTATGCTGGATAGCTATTTTTTGCGGGCGAAAACAATGAAGGAAATGAACCACTTGAGTTGTCTCTGCACCGGGGGGGGGGGAAAGGAATATGAATGTCTTTTTTGAGGTTGGACCCCCAGATGGTGGGTTTTGCTTCTGGTTTCCCTTCACACCACACCCAAAAAGGGCACCGTCAAGAAAAACACACCCATATGATTTGATTTTCCCCGGTTGGTTTTAGAGGGAATCTATCACTACTAAACATGGAAACTTAAACAATCTTAAGCAAATAGAAAACATAAATCACCCAAGTTCTGCAAGGGGGGGCTTGATTGTCCTGGCACTCAATGTCTTGAAGGAAGCAGGTTTGCCTGGCGCATGCGAAATCATGCGGCATGTTGCCATCATTTTTCTTTACCGGCTTTTCGCGGATTGTTTGGGGTTGGGTTCGGACATTGCCCAGAAATGCCGACGACCTGCCTTTGTGATGATGAAGGAGACCTGAGCCTGTTGGCTGGTGCGTCTGTCAATGACCTCGAGGGGTCTGTGCCACTATGTCCCTGGCAAAGGCCAGCTTGCCAGGTATGCCTGGCTTTTAGTGTCCTCTTTATGACACTGGGTTTGTCTCAATTGGAGCTGTGAGTTCACCCTTTCCTTGTCAAACAAGAGAGAGTGCCTTCAACCCTCCCAAACACACAAATCGCATATTTTTACAATATAGAATGGCTGTTCCAACTTCCAACCCCACCCTCTGAATTCACAGGATCCCCAAAGAAGACAAGCTTATTTGCTGCGAGCCCCTGCAAGACGCAAGGGCAACCAGTTTTCAATTCCGTCGGACGGCTGCAAAGCAGCAAGGCTTTGAACTCAAGAACTTACCGCGAAGCGAAACACCGCTCATGGGTTCCCAGGGCAAGCAGGGGCTACCGAACAATGCCAGACAAAGCTTACCCTTGTGTTTTTTTTTCTTTCTCTGCAATCCTTTGTTTTCATCACTTTCCTTCTCAGCCAGTGCGTGTGTGTTTTCTGCAATCCTTTGTTTTCATCACTTTCCTTCTCAGCCAGTGCGTGTGTGTTTTCTGCAATCCTTTGTTTTGTTCACTTTCCTTCGCAGCCAAGATGCATTTTTTTGTGCGCGAGGCCTCAGTCTGGCCACAATAGAACAAACCTTGCTCTACAGTGGTCATGAGATAATCTGCAAGCCCCGCAAATTATCTCATGACCTCTCTCTCTCTCTCTGCCGTTACTCTGGATGCAACGGCAGAGAGAGAGAGAGAGTGGTCATGAGATGAAACAGAGTGAGTTCAAAAGTTCGAACAGTATTAACGCCCAAGTGAGTGCTTTTGAGTTTCAGGTTCCGTGGGCCTTCCATTCCAGGACTTCCGTGAGAATTTTTTTTGCCGGGCTGGCAGTTCCAGGCCACTCAGCAGTGCAGTACGGCTCCAGTTTCTGCAGTCCGCCCCACACGCCCTCAGACCAGGCTGCCGGTCCCAGACCGTTTTCTTATGGAAAGTCCAGACCATTTCGGGGGTCTGGGAGCTTCCATGATTTTTGGCCTGGAGTTGTGCTTAAGGACGGCCAAGCCCCCTGGAACGGCATCGGTCAATGGATCCCATGAACTTTGCGGGCCCAAAGAGAGACTCCGAGCACAGCATGCGGAGAGGGGCTCAGCTTGACAATGGCCCCCGAATTTTAGGTACCACCACTAAAACAAATGGCTGCTCGAAGAAATGGACCGAAATGGCACCTCGGTAAATGCGACCAAAGACTAAAACCTGCGTCCCTGGCTTTTCAATTTTGAGCCACACGCAAATGGTGAGGTTCATTATGTCCTTTATCTATAAGAATTCTCATCGTCGTAGGGGGGGTTGAAATCCAGGGCTACCTTCTGCTTTTGTTTTTGTTGTTCCATCTCCTGCCGTCCGAAGCTCCTGCTTCGGCCATTTTTTTGTGTTCGGTGTTTCTTCCCCAGCCCCAGCCTCCACTTGCCGAAATGAATATGTGTTCTTCTCCCTTGTTGGGTTTTAGAAGGAATTCATCACTACTGGACCTACTGGACATATGTTTTTTTTGGGTTCCTGGGGCCTTTATCCAAATGGTTGCCAGCTCTGTGCCAGCTCAATCCCGGAATTGTGCGCTGTGAGGTGAAGCGCCATGGCTTGAGGCTGGGGAGCCCGCGTCGTCGCTTAGCCGACCGGTGGCTTTCCATGGTGCATGGATCACGTGGGCTCGACCTTTGGAGCTGTGGTCAAAACCGTTTGGATCCCATTTTGGTGGGTAGGTGAATGATTTTTCACCCATTTTAGGCTACCTATTTTAGTGGTTGGATTGGTGGATGTTCACTGGTACGATTTGGATTTTGACCCATGGCCAGTTGGCACGTCCTTTTCTTCCTTGAGGCGCTTGGGGCCCGCCGCAGCGGCGGAACATGCCAATCTGCTCCTTGGCAGTCCTTGGCATATGAGCGGTGCCAGCGGCCTGAAGGGGTTTTGGAACCGGGGTAGAAGTTGGCACCCTGGAGGGTGGCAACTTCTTTCTTTCGAGTTGAACTGGGTTTGGAAGCGCTGGAAGTGTTCAACTTGTACACTTCCAGTGCTTCCAGTGTCATTTTTTCCATCTGCTTGGAGCTCGAGGATTTTTATGGTTAACCGATTCTCGTCCTTCGCCAGCCCTGCGGAAGCTGTGGCTCTGAGCCAAGCGGCTGAAGACAGCCGCAGGGACCAGAGCACCTACCACGGAACTGAAGGGTTGAGCCCAGATGATTCAACCCCAGCTTGAATATGGTGGGTGAAAATTAAACCAACAAGAATTGGACCGCAGATTTTGGCCACCATGTTTCCACTAGGGCAAGCCATTTTGGGTAATTCCCTATTTGTAACAACAGCCATATGGGGGTTGGGGGACCCCTGGTCTGATCCGATCCCCACATTTACACCCAGCACCCCACGAGTAATACTCAGTTGTTCAAAGCGAATCGACCTTTTGACCTTTTGGCCTTCCCTTTTTGGTCCATTTTAAGTTGAGGTCCCAAAAGGTTGACCTTTTATTTCCAGGTCCTTTGGGCAAGTTAGAATAAACTGGGGTTGATTAATATGGGGTCAAAATGATTGACCCAGGATTCACTACCCCAACCTGAAAGGCAAGGGATGACACTTTGACCGTCGCAAAGAACACCTGCACCGTTGGCTTCCTCACCTCAAAGAGGTTTGAGCTATGGTTCAAACGAACTCCCCCGTTCTGAAGTGCAACATGTGTTTTCATGTTTGTTGAAAGGATAGTCATGTGAGTGTGTGTTTTTGAGGGTGCCTTTTTTTTGGCGGTGGGGGGGGGGGGAGTCCAAAAGGAACACAACAAGAAAACCACCATATGAAACTTCCCTCTATTTCAAGACACACCCATGTGTAAATGGGGCGAGTGATCAGATTGGAGCTGTGGTGGCACCTGCTGCAGCAGCTGTTGGCAACCTGAAGAGAAGACCCCCCCCACCCACCCACAAATATATATATATATATATATATTCATATATATATATATATGTATATATCGATGTTCTTTTTGGGTTTCCTCTGAAACGAACCAAAAAGGGTGCCAACGCCAACAAGCACGCCACCAAGAAATAGAAGCGCATGCGCTGGCCATGGCTGTTCGCTTCCTCCGCGCTGGGCGAGTTGGACCGGAGCCCTGGATCCCATTCAGCCGCAGCCGTGTGTCTACCCTTCTTGGGATGGCGTTAAACGGAGATTCCAAGGAACGCCAAACTCCATTTTGTGGGTCCCATTAAAAAAAAAAAACATCAAATGAGCCTTTCGGACGTGGCTCTTCCCTACCAAGCGTTTTCGGCTTCCTTTCTTTTGTTTGGGGGGGGGAGGGCTTTTGGGCCTGGAAATGCGTTCCAACCTTCGGGCCTCCAATTCAGTTGGTGGTTGCTTCCGAAAACCCGGCTCTCAACGAGTTGTGGCCTTGTGGAGTATGACCCCCAACAAAAAGCAGTTTTTGGATGAACAAGAGGATGCCCAAATCTGATCAGGGATCTAAACTCGGTGGCTCCCGCAGGCCATCCGGTTCCTTAATTTGTTCAAGATCCTTTTAGTGTTTGGTGGTAGTTGCCGAACTTAACCCACTAAAAGTTTGACTTTTAGCCGGGTTCCTTAGCTTTCAAGATCCTTTTAGTGTTCCATTTAACCCACTAAAAGTTCTCAACTTGTAGTGGGGGATCTGAGGGCAGCCCAGAGAGGATGCCCAAATCTGATGAGGAATCTAAAGACTTGGGCTGTTTTGGGTGACACAGCTTTTGGGATGCCATACGTTTCTTGCCAGAGTGTGCATGCAGGAGCTTGGATGGGGTGGGGGGACGGGTGGAGGGTGGGGCTAGGAAATACTGTGCTCATCACAGCCGTCTCAAGCGGCAAAGCAGACAATCATGACGCTTTCGCCAGGCCGGCGTGGCATTTGAAGATTGTGTGCCGCAAAGCGCTTACGGCAAGTGCCACAAAACAGAAGTTTGTTTTTGCCGGTGTGTGTGTGTGTCTCCATTTTGGTGGTCGGTTTAAAGGGAAGCCAAAAGAACACACGCAGACAAATGCATGTCTTGAAGAACGCCAGCCGCGATCCCACGAGCGCCTGCCGTGTTTTATCTTCAGACCATGCCACGGCCAACGCTCGTCTCGGGCCACGAAAGCGAAAGCTGGCTGGCTTTTAAAGGACGGATCGCAAACGAGGTTTCCATGCAGCCGAAAACGCCTTCTTACCTTGTTGCTGGTGGCTGGCGCCGGCTGGCTTCCTCTTAAAGCGCCTTTGACTCGGGATTGGGTTGAGAAGTTGTGTTCTCAGAGCTTGTGAATCAAGATGTATGTTTGTTTAGCCCTTGCTCCCCCATTGCCCAAAGCTGGATTTCGAGCCCGTCAGAACTGTGAGGAATTGCTGGCCGGACTTCTCCGCGCACTACGGGATTTGCTGTCAGGAGGCGGGCCGCAACGGCGTTTGGTCGGCGGAGGGTTCCAAGTGCCCAAAAGTAATTGCATGGCTTAAGATGCTTAAGATTGCTCCAAATAAAGGCGAAGCCTCAAGTCAAGAGGATGGAGGTGGTTCACTTGCCAAACCTCCATGTACCACCCACGCCCATATGGCTGTAGGTCAAAAAAGGGTACCCAAAATGGGTTGCCCTGGTAAATGGAGCCAAGGACTAAAACCAGTGGTCCAATTCCTGGCGGTTTAATTTTGATCCACACCCAATTGGGTCCTTGTGTCGGGCTGATGTTGGGCTGATCCTCGTTGTTTTTGTTTTCTTTGTATGAAACCCGTGGATCACAGGTAGTGGCTGCATTAGAATGGCCAGGCCCTGTTTCAACACCCATGTCCCCGCCAAACGCCCCAAAAATAATTTCATGGATTAATATTGCTTTGGACTCTAATTGAAGGAAGCTTCAAGTCAAGAGGATGGAGGTTCATATTGCCAAACCTCCATGTCCCACCTCACGCCAAGCGCCCATGCCCCACGCCAACCGCTGAGGGCCTACCTCCGGACGAGCGCTGCTTCGACGGAGTCGCCCGGACCTGGCAGCGCTGCTGCCGCTGCCCCGAGCAGATCGACGGCTTCGATGGCCTCGGGCCGAAGCTGACCCGCCAGTGCCGCGGCTGGGAAGTGGGACGGCCCCTTTGATGGGAACTGCACCCGTTTGCATAAGATGTTGTTTTTTGTTTTTGTTTTTTGTTTTATTCTCCATTGCTGTTTTTAAAGGGATCGATTTCACTACTGGACATATGTTGATTTTTTCCAGGGGGCTTAAGCAAATGGAAGACTGCACTCGTTTGGGGTGAACATGGAACCCAACAAGCAGCCCACCGTTGGAATCTTGTTTTGCTTCCTTTTGCGGGGGGCTCTGTTTGGGGGCCTTGGGTTGGTGGGGTTCGGTCAGCTGACTGCCGGCATGCCTGAGCCTTTCATTGGGCCGGGAAGATGGGGCGTCTTGAGCTTGAGAGTGCCATTGGGAGGGTCACAGGCGCTTCATTTCTTGCATGGATGACACGAGGAATGGCTTGCTCACAGTTTGAATGATGTCCATGGCCTTCGTGGCAATTGAATTTGGCTGGTTCCCATCATTGAGCAATTTTCATAGTAAATCAACCCACGAGGCTTCGCACCAAGGTGTAATCATCGCGCTCGGGCAAATTTCTTATCTCCAGGGGCAATGAGCCACGCTGGAGTTTCAATGGCTCCAATTCTTGGTGGCTCCCAGCCATCTAGATCCTTGCAGTTGTTTGGATCCTTGTAGCTTTTTAGTTTGGGTTTTCCGAATTTTCGCGCACTCAAAGTGAGTCGCTTTTCGCCGGGGATCCGAGGACAGCCCTCTGAATCTTCGGCCCAGGTTCTTTGGGCCGCTCCTCTGCCAGACCTCAGCGACCTCGCGCCTGGAGGATTTTTGGCTCCCAGACGCCAGGCCTGCACGGGGCATGCGGAAAAGAGAGAGGAAAACATGCGGAAAAAAAATGGGAAACAGAACAAACAACAGTTTCGTTTTGCGCCAAGGCAACGTAACCTTTGGTGCATTGTGCTTGGCTGTTAGGACTTTAACTGTTTGCCAACTAGTGGGTTTTCCACTAACCAAAAAGTTAAACTTTTAGCAGGGGAGCAGAAAGCAACCGAGTAACCTCCCTGTGCTGAGATCTCATGTTCGAACACACCCCCCCCACATATCCAAGGGTCAGTGCATGGTTGTTGTTGGGAAACATTTTACATTTTTGCTTATTGTGGTGTAGTGGGAAATCCCCACTGAACTGCTGAAATTTAATTGTTTGCTCCCCTTCCAACGTCAACCATGCAGTGGCTGGTCTCTGGTGCACCTTGCGAAATATTTGAACAGCCCACTTTCTTTAGGCACCCTGTACAACACCCCGATGTTTTGTCACGCCCTCCAAGTGTGGCTTCGGCAGTTTGGCGGGCGAATGCAGTTTGCGAGTGCTCCCAGCCGTTGCAACCGCCTGCGTGTGGCCCAGACATGCCCAGACCACCCCCTACTCACCATTGATAGATAAGGCATTCGCCCAACATCAGAGTTTAAACCTAACAACCTCAACTGCCAAATAGCCTAACGAAAATAACCATAACCTTAACCACAACCATAACCTTAACCACAACCATAACCTTAACCACAACCATAACCTTAACTGCCAAATAGCCTAATAACCATAACCTTCACTCACGCAGCGCGGACGTCAGGCGCCTGCTGCGGGTCTTCATCTATCCCTTGGCGCGGCTCTTCAACGCAGACCTGCTGAACCGCCTGCAGCTGGGCGGCTGGATGACCGGCAGCGAGTGCGACTACGGGCTGACGCCCTGCACGGAGCAGCGCTGGAACCTCGAAATTTGGGTTCCTCGCGGAATCGAGGGGATACTGTGGATGCAAAATCCCTTTCGCACCAGTTGGAAACCATGGGAAACCACTGTTGGTTGGTATTTACAGGGGAATCATCCCTCCAGGGTGCAGGATTTCGTCCATCCACAGTATGGGGGTGTCTCAAAATAATTTCCTTCCACCCTAGCACGAGTACCCGGGTGCGTTTCTGGCTTTTGGGGTTGTTCTTGCGGATGGAGAAACGGGAACCCTCAATAAAGACACACACACACACATATGCTGCGACTGGCTAATGCTTGGGGAATGCAAGGGTAGTTCAACCATTTTGGGGAGCTACCAGGGAAGATTCATGGGCAAAAAAAAGATTTACAGATTCAAATAAGTCAATGCACACACTTGGGACACAAATACAGTGTACAGTTGCACATGATCGAAGAAAGCAATGGGTGGGTGTGTGTGTGTGTGTATGTTGATGGCATGGGTGATGTGAACGCGACGGAACACGTGGGTGTCGAGTGCCGCCTGCACTGCTCACACGAGTTTACCTGCGGCATTTTTGCCAATGAAAGGGGTTCCTTGCTGGGGGATCCCATGGTTTCTGAACTATAATTTGTAATGATTGGCGCAGGTATGTCGGTTTGGTTGCTGGCTGGCGCGAGCAAGAGCACAATCTGCATATCTGTGTGTATACACATGTATATATATATATATACATACATGTATAGAGAGAGAGAGACGCATGTCTATATATATATATATAATTTATTTAGTGGTTCATTCAGATGACGTGCTCTTCCACAGTCATCTAGAAGTGGTTTCAGTGTCGATGTCGAGCGCAGCTTCTTTTTTTTTTGCGGGGTTGAGCTTCACGGAGCCTCTGGATCGGGTTGTCCAAAAGCCCCCCGCCCCAGCCGTTGCATCGGTCGGAGGAATGGCTTCTTTTCGGTCTACCGGCAGTTTGCGACGGAGGTCCTGGTACTGCTGAAGTTTTTGTCCGCCCCGGAGGGCGTCCTTACCGAGGACCCCACCCAGGCAGGAAAACCAATGTGAGGGAGAATGACTCGTTGTTTTTTTTTGGAAGGCTGACTGACTGGGGTTGCAACCAAAGGTGGCCCTTTTGAAAAATAGATGGCCCTGGCCCTGGCACATGGAATGAATGCAATTTAGACCAGTTTGTCATACACCATGAGCCGCCCAAGTTCCATTCATGCAGAGGCTTTGCAGGAGTGTTGGAATTCCTGAACAGCCAGGGTTGCAACCATGGGTACCCTTCTTAAGTTACTTTGGTTAGACATAGGTTCCACATGACTGGCTTGCGGGCGGGCGATCCTGTCAGGTTTGTAGGTTTTGAGGGGTTTAGTGGGGTTTCCACTTAGCCCACTAAAAGCTACACTTGTCGCAGGGGATCCGAGGTGCGAGGTGTTTGGAGTCAGGCGGATCTCTATGTGGTGCCCTACTTTGCCAAGTCCGACTGCGCGGAGAGCGGCAACTTCGGTCGGGACCCCTGCTGGGGCAAGTGCGCCTCGATGCGAAAGGAGAGAAGCGCCGGGCACAGGGGCCCGGCCCGACTTTCTTGAACTCACTTCCAACCAGTTCATGGACTTTAGTCATTTTTTAGGTTTGGAGCATTTTGGTGGTAAGTAATAAGTTTGAGGACTTTTTGTTGGCCCATCAACTCAGCAAGTGAGTGAATGCTACTGTGGGCTGATTGTATGGGTCCATAGATGAACCCATTGCGATATTGGACTTCAATAGACGGCCTGATTTCCCATATTTAAGCCATGACTAGCGGTTAATTAGCTCAAAAACTAGGAGTGAGATACTGTGGATGGTTGCGAAATCCGCTTAGGCACCACCGTTCAGACACCCTGGAATGATGATTCCCCCTGCAAATAGCAGCTGCAGGATTTTGTCCATGCAGGGTATTGAAAGGATCTTCAACCTTAAACTGTTCAGGCGACAACGGGCATTTTTTGTTTTTGCTTCTGCAAACGTTGAGCACTTTTGGGGGAGGGGGTAATAGCCATTAAGCTATATAATTCCCCTGTTCTTGGATTCAACCGTCCCTACGCACCGTTTCTTTCGGTGAACTGAATGGGGTAGTGCAGCAGCCATGAAGCTGCTCTGATTCGCCGAAAGGGGCCCCCTTGGCATGGGTTTGATCAAAGCCATCCTTGGGCCTTGGGCAACAGCACCCCTTCCCCTGGCATCGGCTTCACTTTGTGCACCTGAGGGTGCTTTGGTTTACTGGACCACAAAGAAAGCCCAACTCAATTACCCGAACGGGCCATGGAGGGCACGGAGGGCATGGGCGGCACTGTTTTTGCAGGCTCAAAAGTGGGCAGTTGACGATGCATTTTCTCATTCCCTACTAGAAACCAGCATGTTGGTTTCCCTTGCAAAGCAAATGACTGTTTTTTGCGTAGGGGTTTGTTTGGGTGACAAATCGTGGTGGTTCAATCATCTACCATGGCCGTCTATTTTCCTCTAGGACATCTGGAGATTAGTTTTCCCTGGGCTTCCCTTTGCATTTCAATGCAGCTTTGCGAGCACACAACAAATCTTGGTGGTCCTCCGCCATCTTTTTCGTAGGTGTGTATCTGGTTTTTAGTTGGTTGAGAGGTTGTGTCCATTCAACTCACTAAAAAGTTATTCACTTTCAGCCGGGGATCCGAAAACGGACACCCAACCCTTGTCCCAGCCCCAGAACCCATCCCAACCCCCCTCCCCCTCCTTCCCAAAAAACAAAAGAACGACACAAAAACAACAAAAACCTCAACCCATCCTACCCCAACCCCCCCCCCCCCAAACAAAAAAACAACACCCCAACCCCCCCCCCCCCCGGAAAGAAAAAAAACACAAACCAAAAAACAAAAAAAAACAAAAAACCATCTGTCTCATCCCAGGCAAGTGCGCCACGGCGGTGAAGCACCTCTTCAACGCTCTGCCCTACTTCACCTGGCAGACCCGGGCCCGGGCGCCCGGCCTTTCAGCTTCGTGGCGCCCAAGGGCGAAACCCCAGGCAACACCTGGATTCCCTGTGGCCCAAAATTAAGCGGAAGGGGCAAACCGCAGGTTTTGGTCCATGTTTCCACTTGCCAGGGCAACCCATTTTGGAATTCCGGTTCTTTGAGCCACAGCCGAAATCGGATTTCTGTGGGAAGCCCATGAAGGGAAACCCAGGAGAAACCCCTGCCAAATTTTTGCCATGGCTTCTGTGTTGTTTGTTTTGGGGTTTCAAGAACATTTCTTCGGTTCTTTTTTTGTGTGTGAAGAGGGTTTGCCTTTTTTGGATGCCCACAAGAAGGATGGTTCGTATCGTTCCTTTCGGGTTTGTTTGCAGCTTTGATGCATGCTGGAAAAGGGTCCCAAGGGATGCGGATTCCGATTCCCTCGAACAATTGCCAACATTCAGGGAGCCCGTGTTTTCTTTCCTCAGGGCTACTGCATGTTTGGGTTGGCAACAGGGTAACAGTTGACACATGTTTGCCCTGAACTCAAATGCGACTACTGCCCGGGCGTTCACCAAGAGCTGTTTGAGGGTTTGGGGTGTCCCTACGGTATACTTCCATTTGCTCAATCATATTGTTATTTTCCCTTTTTGGTTTTAAAGGAAATCTATCACTATTGGAGATATGTCTTATAGGTCTTATGTTCTCCAGGGGGCCGACTTAAGCAAATGGAAGTATAGAACACATTGACATTAACGCTTTGAGCGTTTACCGAGCAAGGCACGGCACCTGTTCCTGGCGACGGGGGACATCAAGGATGCTTCGCCGGGATAGGTTCGCGGTCAAATCCTGATTTGTCTATCGCTATGGATCTGGGAAAGTCGTGATGTTGCCCTTCCATTTGCTGAAATGTATATATTAATGTTGTATTTGCTCCCCCTTTTGTATTTTCAAGAGAACCTATCACTGCGGGACATATTTCCCCCCCTATTTGTTTGGTGGTGGGGGGGCCGGATGTGCTGGTTCCCCGTGGGACTGGCGAGGTAGAAAAACCGAGCCCTTCCGAGGGTCCGCCCAATCCAAGCTCAGGACCCTCGGCGGAGAAAGGACCTGCCCCCAAAAAACACAAAGCAAACCCCCAAAAACAAACGCGTCTTTCTTGAGACCAAAAAAAATCCCCCCCCCCCCCAAAAAGAATAAATCCCCGCCATGTTTTCCTGGAGTAGGTGACCTCCTCCCCCCCCCAACCACCCCCACCCACCCACCACCCACCCACCACCCCCCCTGCAGGACCTGCCGGTGGAGATCCAGGCCCAGCCGCTGCTGGTGTCCCTGGGGGCCTCGCTGTGCGGGGGCCACGTCCTGGTGCCCAGCCCGACGCCTCGGCCCACAAGCGAAGAATCCATTCGCCGCGCTGCGTCCGGGGGCTTGGGGCAAGGTGAAAACCATGTCTTTGTTGACTTTCTCCAGGAAAACATACACAACAGGTTTTTTGGTTTTTTAAGGGAACAAGAAAGCAACCACAAAGTAGTTTTGTTTTTTGAAATCATGTGGTTATTTTGTGTGTGTTACGGAAACCGCAGACACCAGTTTTGATTTTGAAGGAAACAGACAAGGTTTTTTTGTTCATAAAGAAAACAAACACAAGGGTGTTGTTTGAGGAAATGCAAAAACACAAATACACAAGAGTTTGTGGTGATGTTTTGATGGAGATACCCTCGATTGTTGCCGTGGGGCCATGTTTTGACTTTGTGAGTTTGGGGGTTATTTGGCACCCAACCCTTGCTTTACCGCTGGCATGTTGCTTTGTCCCAACAGCTGCGTGCTATGAGATTGATAGGCCCAGACAGATATGTGGGCTCGCCTTTCTTGAGGTGGTTAAAGGGGCTCCGGATTTTTCGACTGGGCCCTGTCCAATGCAGATGTGGACACCCTATCTTTGTTGCCTTCTAAACTGGATAGGGATTTTTGTTGGCAACTTTTTGGTGGATGCTGGCGGGGATGTCGGTGACCATAAAGTGAAAATCTCGAGGGGAGTGGGAAAGCATTTTTCTCACATCACGGTGCTCGAAAGTGAGGATCCCCCCCCCCCCCACCACCCGCCCACCCCGACCCACCCCCCCCCACCCGCGATTTTAATCAGGGCTCCCCATTTGAAACATGGCTTGTTCCACCAAAATAAAGGGAAACCGCCATTTACAAGTTGCAACGTTCAGGTGTACAATGCATCCGGATCCCTGTTAATGAGTGCAAAGTGGCCGGCACTGAGGAACTTGGACCCTGACTTGCAGCCCAAGGCTAAGATGGAGACCCGAGAAGCCTCCGGGCGGTCGCCCGAGCGCCACATCTTGGCCTTTTGGTTTGGGTCCGTTGACAAGGACCCACTTGGGGCAAACGTTTCTTCTTTGTCCCCCCCCCAAATGGTAGACTGACATGTGTTTGTTGTAGGTTTCTTGTGATTGTTTTTTGTTGGGTTTCGGTTAGTTAGGTTAGAAATAGAACTGGTCTAGATTGGTTTGATGTCAGCCTTTTGCCAGAGAAATTCGAATCGATTTTACTACCACAAGGACACATAGCTTTTGTGCTGTGGGTTTCCTAGCGAGTGATTTGAGTTTTGTGGGCCGGTTTCGTGTTGGCTGAGGCCTGAGGGACTGCTACCAGTTTCTGAGCTGATCCCGGCCCACATGTGGCTAAGTGAGGTAGGGGCAGGATCCACGAACCAGAGGCCAGATAGCTGGTGTGCCATTTTTTGCGGCCACCCGCCTTTTTGGGCTAAACCGAAAGGAATGGGTTTCCCGTATGCATATTGAGACAAACCCACGTTTTTCCAGACTCAGAATGCCGCATTCATCCCTCTTCGTGAGACAGAGTCAGGAGTGGCGCAGGCGAGTGGTTGCTCAAATGCAGGACTATCAGAAGAGCTGCTCGCTTGCAAGTGCCGACCTTCGGCTGAAGTCGTGGTCTTGTCACGGCCTTGGAAGGTTAGCTCTGTAATACGGGGATATATGCGGGGTGGTCAAAACTCCCTTCTGCCCTCAAATGACCATGGGTAAAATTTGTTTGGCCACAGCAGGACATATCAATTGTTTTCGTGGTTTTCCCCAATGGTCATCCCATGTTCATGAGACCTTTTGATCCACCTCCGTGCCATGGGGTGAAAGCGGAGGCGGGGACCGGCCGGTCATCATCCACGGCATCGACGGGGATTACGCGGCACGGGACATTTGGCAGACGGACGCCAACAGCCCGCAGATGGTGCTGGAGGAGATGATGAGGCCGTCGGTTTTGGGACAGGGCTGAAACGGGTCAGTCTCCAAATATTGAAAGCTGATTCTCACTTAGTTTCTGGCTTGGCATTGGCATCTTTGTTGGCTCGCACTCGCACATGACACGTGTTAGCGTAAGCATGGCCAAGGTTTGGTGTGCTCAAATTGGTCGAAGCAAAGCTTTGTAGGGTCTCTGAGTTCACCGAATTTCCAATCGCTTCGGATTCGCAGGCATTAAACCTTTGGTGCATTTTGCCAAGGGATGTTAGGACTTTAACTTTTTGCCAACTAATTGGTTTTCCACTAAACCACTAAAAATTAAACTTTTATCAGGGGAGCAGAAAGCAACCGAGAAACTGTTCACTCTGCACTAGATCGAAGCACATTTGGGGGCTTCATTTAGGCCCGTGAGAGCCATGCTCAGTCACGGGTGTGTGGTGACATGGTCCCAGCCTGGGGCGCCAACCACTACTAACTAAAACAATGGGGGTTCATTAAAAAAAACACCAACTGAATTTTGTTTATCTGTCTGGGACATAGGAGGGTAATATGAATGAACTCCATGAAGTATCCTGGGAGATCACCTATGGACCAAACTCACCACCTTCATGAGATATGTTTGCCTATGGGTTGTCCTCCAAAATGCGTCCTTGAAAAATTCCTTGGCTGCACCCAAGGGCCCGTGACCGCTGGGACGGCTGGCTTTGGCTCAAAAGGCTTTTAACTGCCCCAATGGTTCAGTCAGAAAGCCCAGTGTCGGGTCAATGGTCCCAGTGTCCCCCAGTAGTTGCCTTTTACCGTTTCGTTTTTTGGGGGAGGGCAAGCCCCTACTAAGACAGAACATATAGCAAAAAATGGGTACCCTTACTCTAACCTCTCAAGTCTGGAGGACCTAGTCGGGGTTGGCAACCCATGGTTGGTGCAGGTCTGAGTTCTGCCCGGTGGTCCAGGGGGACGTGCCGCATCAGAAGAGGCTCTTTGCAGCTCTGCAGCTCGAGCTCGCTCGTAGTTCGGGCCTTGGTTCTCCAGTTCCAGTTCCGTTTTTGGAACCATCAGTTTTTCCAGTGCTACCTTCCCCATTCTTTCCAGGGATCCTTTTTTCTAGAAAAACTGCGGAAAGCCAGGGAATCGGCCGGTTTTCGAAAAGAACGATGGTTGGAAAGAATGGGGAATCAACCCTTAGAGTTTTAGTGGGAACCACCAGCAAGCTGCAACTGTTGAAGGGTACATCCGGTGACCCCTGTTGTCCCAAGCGGCCCCTCTCTTTACATATATATATATATATATATATTTGGGCGCCAAATGGCAACCATACTCTTTGTTTAAAGATAAAATAAAACCAACAGGGGACTGGTCTGTTTCAATTTCCCCAGACCCCCCACTCCCACAACAAAACAAAACAAAAAAAACAAAGCACACCTCTGCTTAGATATGTATATATATATATATGTATGTATATGTGTGTGTGAAAGTTTCCAGTGGGTTTAGTTTGGTTGGGTAGAGCTCTGTGATTGAAAGCAGGGACGTGGTGGTATAGAGGGTTGTGCCAGCCAGTCTGCAGATGTTGTTGCAGCCCTCTTCAAGAAACCTCATGTTTGCTCTCATCCTGGGGTTGGGCCAGTCTGTCCACAGATGTAGTTGTAAAAGTGTAAAACGGCAACACCTCCTTTTTGCATTTGTTTCAGAGTGCCAGGATATGGTTGCCCAAGTGGCCCTGGTGTAGCAACCAACTGACCAAGAATCAGCCTCATATGGCCCGTCGAGTTGTTACACCCTCCCTACATGGGCCCACAGAGGGTCCCTTGAACTTCCAGGCACCCTCCCAGTGCGCTATGTTCGTGGGAGGACGGGTACCTTTGCAGCATACCCCGACCCTGATGGAGATTCCGCCACAAGTAACGTCCGGGGGTTGCTCAATATGGAGTCTTCTTGGAAAGATGGGAGCCTTCAGGTGTTCATTCCTGGAGGCCGCAGGCACTCGTCAAAGCACATGGGTTCATCTGTGGAAGGGTGTGAGTTTTAATGGGGGGGGGCCCTTTGGGCATCATCTAGGTGGGGATTCATGTCCACCAACCACTTGTGAGGCAATTCCCTTCCAAATGGGCCCTCCAAATGGGCGCTCCAAATGGGTTGCGTCCCTTTGGGGGTTCCCGTCAAACGCATTTCAGGCGGAGCATCAAAAACAACCACATGGCTACATTTAGAAAGCGACATTTCGAAAACGCATAATTTTCCAAAAGTGCTTTTCAGTCCAACTCACTCAACATGTCAAAATGATATCCGAAAAAAAACCGACGCGCTGTGGAAATAAATCCGACGGCTCCGCTCCGGAAATCTAAGGACGCCATCATCACAGGGTGTCTGCCCGTAGTGGTGGCCTTCCCCTCCCACGTGCCCAAGCAGGCGATGTACGTCTACGTCCTTTGGGTGGAAGGGGGCCTTTTTCCCCACCGAAAAGCCACCAAAGGGTCCCATTTCAAAGAACAATTGTCTTCCAGGAGCCCTCAATCAGCTTTCATGTTAGTGGAGGAGGGATTTGTCTTCTTTTTGGTGGGGAGGGAACCCACCAAAGGGTCCAGGACGGATGCTAGTTTCACGGGTACCCTTAGATTCCAACATTGAATCTTCCACGCGGTCCGTTTGAAAGGAAGTGGTCGTCCACCAGAGGCCATCTGTGTGTCATGCTGATTTTGGGAGGAAGAGTCAGCGGTTGCTTCAAGTCTTTTGGAGCTTGGCTGGGCTTTGGTGTGCCCAATAAAAAACACTGTGTTCCAGAGAAAACAGGGGCATCCAACCAGAAGCAAAAAAAGGGGGCCATGTCCCATTTGTCGGGTCGTGGGGGCGTTAGCAGTTTCTCAAAATGGCCTTTTGGTGGGTACTTGAAGGCAGCCCAAAGGAAACCAATTTTTGCCAAACCCCCTTTTTGAAGTTCTCACCAGATGTCTGGAAGGTTCTGGTCTGCAGGTGAGCTGGTGGCTGCCGAATGGCCCCCCAGCGGAGCGCATGGTGCCCTTCTGGGATGCAGTTCAGTACCGGTCCTTCGTGGTGGAGGTGCCAGAGCGAGAGGCCCCTCGGCTCCCGGAGCTGTGAATTACATCCTTTTTCCCTTTTTCTTAAGGGTTTCCCTCTAAACTCAGCTTTTGGAACTACCAAAAGCTGGGTGCCTTTGTCAGTTCCCGTGGTCACTGGTAGGGCACGACTCTAGGTTTCCTCTAGGTATGCTTGCCTCCCAAAACCAGTCAGAAGGATCCTGGCACAAGGTTCGGGGGTCATTGCTGGTACTCAGTAGGGAATGACCGAGTCCGGATTTTGGGAATGGACTTTCAATTCCCGAAGAAAGGTAACATAAGGGAAACCTTCGGGGATGGTTTTTTTCGGGGTCATTCCAACTCATTCCCTGCCTATCGAATCAAGGATCCCCAAGGATGTTCAACCAACATAATAAGGTGGTAATAACCGTGGTTATCACTTGGGTAACTGGGGTGACCGTCCCCTTATACCCATGCTTATAACCCACAGTCGGCTGAACACCCAAGTATCCTCTCAAACTTACAACCCACTTTACCACTTTACCTGACGTTGGTATCCTACTGTGGATGGTCGAAATCCTGCACCAATTCAGACGCCCTAGAGGGATGACCCCCCTATAAATGCCAATGAACAATGGTTTCCAATTGCGAAATGGATTGAAGTTTCCAAGTGGTGCGAAATGGTTTTGTCCATCCACAGTAGGTTGCTTCTAACCCACTCACCTGACGTTGGTTGAAGATCCTAGCTATGACGTCCATTTGTTTAAGAATACTTTTATTTTCCACGTTTGGTTGTAAAAGGCATCGATTACTACTGGAATTATTGTTATGTTTTCCAGGGGGCTTAAGCAAATGGAAGCCTGACGGTTTGGTTGGGGACACCCCCCACTAAAAAAGGACACTAGGGACACCCCACCAACAAAATCAACCAGGGGTTTACAAAACCAATGGTACCATTTTAGTTGGTAGGTGAAGACACCCATTTTAGAACCTATTCTGGTGGGGATTGGGATGTTCACTGGGGGCCAGCCGGTGTTTTGACCCATGGCCTTATTCATCCGGGGGGGGGGGAGTATTCTTGGTTGTCGTTGGGACACATTTTGCATTCTTGCTGCTTGCTTATTGTGGTTTAGTGGTTGAAATCCCCACTTAACTGCTAAAAAATCAAATGTTTGCCCCCCTTCCAGCGTCAACCATGTATTCATCCGGGGTTCACAGTATGACTTCCCTCAGGTCCGCGCGGGCGCCTTCATGACCCGCCTGCTGCAGATGCCCTCCGCCGAGAAGGCGGCGCGGCGGATGGCCATGCGCCGGGCGCGCGCGCAGCTGCGATTCGACTTCCAGGGAACTGGGCCCGACGCCGGGGCGAAAGTATGGCACGTCTTTTTTTTGCTTTTTTTTTGTTCAATGCGTTTGTTTGTTTGTTTGTTTGTTTGTTCAGTTGTTTTCTGTGTCTTCTTTTGTTTTAGGGGGGTGGTTTTGTTTTCGTTTGTTCAGTTGTTGTATTTGTCCCTAGAAGCCCAAGGCCTCATGAGTTAAGGTCTTTGGGGGTCAATGGCCTCATACGTAAGGTAAGGGCGTATTCTTTCTGGTGGTGTGTGTGTGTGTGGTTTGTTTGCTTTTTGTTTGCGAGTGTTTGTGTCAGTGGTTCTCTCCACACAGGGGGTGCCCCTTTTTGGGGTTCGGAGTGTTCGTTTGTTTTCGGGGGCAGCGAAGGCAACCAAGCAGTCCACTTTTGAGTAAGGCGTCAATTTGAGCAAACTGTAGGTGCTGCATTTTGAGAAGCAACCGCACCTGGGCGTCCACTTTCGCGCGTCAACTTTTGCATTTCTTGGGTGGGGACTTATTCAAAGCACCAAAGCCATAGACGTGAACTGGTGGGCGTCGAATACGCTGTGTTGGGCGGAGTTTCCTTTAAAAGCTGCCAGGGATGTCCACTGCCTTGAGCTTTGCGGCTCAGGACGCCTTCACGAACCTTGTGCAAGAGCTGCCTGTCGGATCGGCGGGGGGGTGTTGGGGCTGTTTGGAAGAACCGCTTGTAAGTGAAAGGCTTGCGCTTTTGCTTGAATTTCCAAGTGAAGCTATCCTCAACAAAAACTACGCCCCGGTGCTCCAAAGCCAGTGCTGATGTTGCAACGCAACGGCCCCTCCGTTTGCGGGGAGTGCTGTTAGATGCGGACCAGCCAACAGGTTACGACTTCCTGGCCAACCAGGCCCTGGTCCAGGTGATGAGATGTTAATCCCAAGTATAGCCAGTGCAAGTAAAAAAGACAGACCTAGTAAAGCAACGTACACAGACCCCTACCTCCGCGAAAGCTGTTTGTTGGTAGGTGTTCCTCAGCAAAAGGTGTGCAAATGCCAACATTTTGGTCAATCTTGCAGGTGTCCCCCACCTCTCCCTTGCACAAGGACATCAGATTTGTGCCTTTTTATCGCTTCGCCCTCCAAGCAAAGAACAGGTTCCCTTCTTCCCCAGAGGGTTGGGTTCTAGCAGGGTCACGAATGGTTGGTTTGGGTGCCAGCCGCCGTGGCAACTCAGGGTGTGGCAGTTCCTTCGCACGGCGACGGCAAGCAGCGGCTGCAAAGCGGCGGCGACGACAGTGGCCTCCAACGGCACAGCCTTCGATTGCGGGGTGCCGCCCACTGTCAAGGCCCTGGTCGGCATGGTGGGGCCCACCCCCCAGACACGAGGTTTGGTTGGGTCTTGCGCCTTCAGACGGCTGTTTTCGTGGGAAGGTGCAGTTTCAGGTCAGAGGGTGGAGGGTGTGGAGACTTTGTGTGGGTGGATTTAGGTGTGCTCAGGACAAGACGTGTTGACATGTCAGATTGTGCCCGGCCTGGTGCTTGAAGATTGCTGAATTCAAGCCTATGGCTGGGCAACCTGCCTCCAGATTTAGCCCCACGGAGTTAACTAAACCCCGGGTTCAAACAACCATGAACTCCAAGGTGAAAAGAACCTCCATGATTTACCCTTCATGATTTTCCTCCGCCAAATTGGCTCAGCCTGTTCCCTATTGTCCCCTAGGGCAAGCCCTTGGCCCGAAAAGAAAAACATTTGGATATGCCGTGGCCTCAGGGCATCGAGATGTATGGCCACATGGCCTGCTGCCCGGTCACGAGGCGGTGAAAGTGCGGCGAACGCGCCTGAAGGCTCCCGAAAATCTCCGCGAGCGAGCGACGCGCTTGGAGCGGCTGCCCAGGACCTTCACCTGCATGCGGCTTCGAGTAAGTCGCCGGAGAGGTCCCACGCTTCCTTAGGGGCCCAAGGGGACGGCGCACGTTCGCCGGAGACGACGACTTTTTCGCGGCGCAGGTATTGGCTGAACGCGGCTTCAGGTAGAGATGGCATCCAGGAGCTTGCCCGCAAGGCCTCGTTCAAGCAGAGGTTGGAAAAAGGGCCTCGGCTGCGGCTGCCAACGGTGATGTGCAGTAGGCTGTCCTACTACCTGGCTTTATGGGGCTGATAGCCAGGCCGATGTAAGGCTTCAGGTGACAATAGCAGTGTGGAGATTGGTAGTCGTGTTGAAGAAGTCCGGCAACATTCGAATTCACAGATGCGGTTCTTCCCTTAGTACGACCTTCAGGTGCAACATGGAAGCGGCTGAAGAGAACATGGTTGATGAGCTGGATTCGCAGATCCTGTCCCTGTAGTTGTGCTGAAGAAGAAGCCAGCGAGACAGATACCTTAAAGCTGGATGCTTGATCGATGGATTATAGCATCTTGAAACACCTTGTCAGCCAACTTGTACCCCATTGCCTTCCAGCACCTTTCTGGGTCCGTGATATTCGGAGTGTTAGGAGGCAAATGGAGTTGAAGCCCCAAGATAGTTGCAACTGGAAAGCTACCTTGACTAGTCTTGTCTCGCCATATTGCAGTGGTTTACGAACTCTTCAGCCCAACTGCTTGATTAAATCTTGGGACTCGGCCAGGGGACATGTTGAAATGCTATGTCTTCCTCAAGCCCCAAAACCTAAATTTTGCACAGCGGGTGAGCCATGCAGCCGTCTTTTGTTGCGAAAACGTTTTCGCCCCCTGTCCATGACTTGTCTACCTAGTTGTTCTGTTTTTGTGTTTTAGGCAGGGCCCAGGTCCCTCAGACAAATCCGGGAAACCAGCCAGCAACATCATCTCTGGGTCAATGTGTGTGTGTGTGTGTGACCATCTTACATCATTGCCCTCTAGACGGATCAACGAACAGATTTACTTCCTGGGTGTTGCCCCTGACCAAAATGATGAGCAAAGACCATCTTGCCACGTCCGAGATTGTGCCCCTGACAATGGTCTTCCATTTGCCTAGGAATTTTTGCTATTTTCCTTTTTTGGCTTTAAAGGGAATCTATCACTGCTTGACATGTTTTGTTAGTTTTCCAGGGGGGGACGAATAATTGTGATTTTCCCTTTTTTGGCTTTAAAGGGAATCTATCATTGCTTGACATGTTTTTGTCAATTGTTCAGGGGGCGAAGCAACACAAGGACGTCATGAACAAAGAAGATACGGAGAAATCCCAGGGTGTTTCGCACCTTGACCACCAGCGACTTCCTTTGCGCCGGGAGCTCCGAGCAGAGCTCAGGCTGACTCAGTGGCAGCAACGGAGCGGCACCATCCGCGTGGTGGTCCGCGTGCGACCCATGTGTGCCCCAGGCGCGCGAGAGACCGAGACCTGAAAAAGCCGCTGCGCTGGACGCCATGAGTAGGTCCCCCAGCAATTGGTGCCCTTTTACAGTTTCGTGTTTGGGGGGAGGGTTGCCCTATTAAATAGTCTACAGAAACAGGACCACAAAAGCAAGAAGCACCGCCAACAAGCTTCAAGCAAGAACAGAGAATCATCACACAAAAGCAGCGAACACCGAAGGCTCGGTTTCCTGAAAGGCACGAACACCCGAAGGAAACGGCTTCTGCCCCCTGGAGCAGCAAGCGATACAGGACGAACGTCTGCTCTCGCTATGGAAGGCCTTAAGCTTGCGCGGCAATGTGCGGCTTCCGCAACCAACTTCCATTTGACTCAAGGAGCTGGAGCTTTGGGGGATAGTGATTTCTTAATGTGCTCAGTAAGACTGGGCTACTCCTTCGTCCTTACCTTCGGTTATGCAACGGGGTTCCTTTTGTAGTGGATTAGGATTGGCGAACTCCATTCTGAACAGCCCAGTCAGAGGTTCATCTAC